TTTATCGAAACGTGCCCAAAATGGACAGTCATCAGAAAGGGGCAAGGCGTTTCTATCATTTCGGCAGTATGCCATATCTTGTAATCTTAAAAGGAACTCACCGTGACGCAGCTTTGTTAAGTGATTCGTAGAGGATGTCGTCAGAAGCCAATTGATTTATCTGGTCAGAGTAGGTGAAGGCGAGCAAACCAGTCACAAGTTGGATGACCACCATCAGAGCTATCACTGCACAGTACTGACAAAATGAAGGTTGGAATGGGTTAGAGGATTACTACAGGACTAACCAACCGCTCGTAAAAGAAATTTATTCCTACGAGTGGTCGCAATAACGGCGACGAAGAACATAAGCACGAGCACGCAAGCTGCAGCTGTGAACATTCCGAAGATCATGTCGAGACGCTTTAGTTCCAAGAAGTCGTTGTCCTAAATTTGTCGATCACCTAGCGGTAATCTATGAGGTGCATCTTTAGAAGAAGTTCCCATCAGAAGGAAGAACAACCCACCTTACGGGCATAATCAACAAAAGTGCCAAAACCTCGACCGAATCGCAAAACAAAGCCAACGACGATCAAGGCAGCGCCCACCACCTACACAAAATTACTTTGGTTAAAGAACGTGGCAAAGAAGCTTTTATAAAAGTCTAATTACCGCTGTAATGAAGGTAGCGCCAATAAAAACCTTGTCTTGTGAGTCCAAAGCCATTCTCTAGAATGTGGATTTAGGAGGGATTCCTAATAAATGCAGTTGTATACTGGTAATGTTTATTGAATGAGATATTGACTCAAAAAAATTCGAATTCATTTCACACGAAATTACCATCTTTCAAATTTTTGTATTTCAATCCGAGAAGCCCAAGTTTATTTAAGGTTTCTCAATATTGAGGATCTTCGTTAATTTCAAATGAATATCTTTTGCAATTTGATAATTGATCTGTATCTGCATGATGTTATCGGCTAATGATAACTAATTGGTTCAACTAACAGTTCAAATAATATCGAAAGATCTACTCTTCTCACTCCGGAATGCTTAGTCTATAAAGACGACCTAAAGTCCAAACATCGAACTTTCACTATGTTTCTACTTGTAAAGAAACGTTCCTCTACATCCTCATTTTGTGCAACAAAAGGAGAAGTGACTGCAACGAGTTTCTGAACAATACATTTACATCACAACTACAAAACATTCATAAATAACACAACAGAATAACATTTTGCTTAAACCCAAAGTTTT